TAATAATAATAATAATAATAATAATAATAATAATAATAATAATAGATAGCATTTGTTTAGCGCAAATCCAGGCTCAACTACAAGTTCTATGCACTTCAAAGTTTATACTATTACCCCAGCAGACCTGAGAGCATTCTGAAACAAACTTCCTGGGAAGCATACATAACAAGCAACCATTTATAGGCGTTAAAACACTATCATACTGACAAGATCTTAACTCAGTCCCATCATTTATTTTCTTCGCTCCCAGTGGTGTGTGAGAGGCGTCTGTAGGAGGGACAGGGGCGCACCGAGGGTGGCTGCTGGAGGTGAGTCTTTCTCTTAGATCTTGTTACCTTCGGGCTTTTGAAAAAATATTGTTTCGTTGAAGATGAACAACTTTAAGTGGGTTTTTTTTTAATAAGTGAGAGGTCCTCCATGATGGGTCTGTGTCTCAGCTCAAGTTGCCCCCGGCAGACAAGGTTGTCATCCTTCTCCTTAATGGGTCAAGTTGTCTCGATGAGTCCGCAATACATTCGTTATGAATTAATCCGACTAGGACAAGGAGACCCATTCTTGAACCTTTCCGCCAATCTGTCCGAGAAGTGCGCTCTGCTGTGGTTTGCTCCTTGGCTCTTTTCCAACACCAATTCTCCGTATCCCTATTCTTTTCTTTGTATGTTACTCTTTAGAAACACATCTGATACCCAGCACTTATATACTCAATCGTGTGCAAATGTCGTAGGCGTGCCTTTAGTATAATACCAACTGGAATAAAAAGTGGATGGTCCTAGTAATTCCCAACGAGGCGTTCCGAATTTTGATTGTTTTGTGAAGTTTCTGAAGGCTCACCGTCCATTTGGTTCAGTCCTATCAGCGACAGATGTTGGATTCAGAGGTTCCGCCTCTTAATTAAATGACACCCTTACAGTGTTGAAAGGGCCTTTAAGTCCCAGTCTACGGAAAGTCTTCCTTTGCACCCAGCCAGTTTTGCCTAATAATTTTTCAGCCTCACAAACGTCTCTAATATTCCCCTTCTATTTAACATATCTGCATACAATTAATATAAGAATGAGAAGAAATGATAGATCCAAGTAGTAAACATACTGTTAGGAGTTAAACCTTTACAATTTTTGAAAATTTCTCAAGTTTTTACATTCTCACCTGAACTCAAATTAAACTAAACACACGCAAACACAACCAGTTTTTTCTCACCTCGCCCAGATTCCTGCGCCCACGGGGATGATCCAACATTCGGCTGTACGACCAGCTCCTGCAGCGACCCAGAGGCGCGCAGCGTCTTCTGCTGTGAGACCTGCTATAACGCCACCACGGCACGGAATCCGAGACCCACCAGGAGACCCAACCGTCCTACCCAGAGACCCAGAAACCCACGTCCGACTGCCAACCCTTCCAACGAGCGACCTAATAACCCTAGACCGAGCAACCCTCGTCCGAATGCCAACCCTTCCAACCAGCGACCTAATAACCCTAGACCAAGCAACCCTCGTCCGACTGCCAACCCTTCCAACCAACGACCTAGCAACCCTAGACCGAGCAACCCTCGTCCGAATGCCAACCCATCAAACCAACGACCTAGCAACCCTAGACCGAAAAACACACGTCCTGCAGGCAACCAGAACCCGCGCCCGAGTAACCCACGCCCATCAAACCCGCGGCAAAATACGCCCCGCCCCGTGCAAATAACCCGAAACCCACGCCCCGCCCCTGCGCGCCCCACCTACTGGCCTCAATGGCCCCCCGCCCGCCAGACACCCAGACCCAGACCAAGTTTCCCGCGCATCCCTGAGAGTAACTCCCAGCCACGAGCTGACCGCGACCTTTTCTGTCTTCGGGACCGCTGTCAATGTCTCAAGCGCTATTGGTTTCTCGCCTGCTTCCGCCTCTTCTTCCAATAATCCACCTCCGTCCCATTTCCTTTAGCGCTCATTTTAACAACAACAACAATGACAGCAGCAGAAACCATAATAAGAATGCAACACCAACAACATATCCCAAAATATAACTGGGCTTTAGAATGACAAATACAAACGTCCGGAATCCCCTCCCCCTCCTCCTCCCCCTCCTCCCCCCCCCCACCCCCCCCCCCCCCCCCCCCCCCCCCCGAACATTCCCAGCACCAGCACCAGCACCCAGCAGAAGAAAGAATTGACTCTGAATTGGACTGCCAAAGTATCTAAGCTTATTTCGAGAATTATGTAGAGGTTATTTTTAGATATCCCATTTCTCCCCATAATTATGGTTTCAAAAGTATTCCGTGCAGAAGAGCAAGCTTTTGATTCAACCCATACCTGGGCCTTTGTTTTAATAAGAGTTTTACGGCACTTTCAACACAACAAGGTCATATAAGTGCCGAAGATTTGAGGGATTACGAGAGAGTAACAAAACACAGAAAAGGAGTAGGAGAGATCAGGACGATAAATGTTTGATAGGAAAGAAGAAGCAAAGCACACCAGAGCACCCGCCAACCACCCAGAGGGCTTGAAATATAAACTTTCTGATATACATGTATATCTCAGGGAGAGATATTATAT